ATATATATATATATATATATACATAATTATTGTTATTATTCTATTTAGTTTAATTTCTTTATTGCCATGATTTTTTGTGTTGCCAAAGCATTTTAACTATGTATAAAATATGGAATATATTTACATCTTTAAAATAATAACAATAAAAAAACAATAAATGAGAAAAAAGTTAACAAAAACAGGACAATATCACTAATGTTAATTCTAATAATTAGAATAATTAAGTAGACGTGGGGAAGGATGGCAATAGTAGGGTTACATATTTTAGCATACATATTTACCTGCAATTTCAGATTTTGTATTGTTATTATATACCTTTATATGTTTTGCATTAACTGTGCTAAAAGTCACTGGTATGTGTGTATATGTTTTATATGATGCTTTTTTTCTGTGAATTATTATTATTATTATTATTATTATTATTATTATTATTATTATTATTATTATTATTTGTTGTTGTAGTATATTTTTATTTATTTATTTTTAGATGTTATTCTGTTCAATTTAATTTCTTTATTGGCATAATTTTTTTAGTGTTGCTAAAGAATTTTAACTATGTATATAATGGAATACATTTACATCAATAGAATAATAACCCAAAATACAATAAATGAGAAAAAGTGAAAAACAGGACAATATTACTAATATTAATTCTAATAATTACAATAACTAAGTAGACAGGTGGGGAAGGATGGCAATAGTAGGGTTACATATTTTAGCATACATGCAGAGTATTTACAGCTAATGTATAGGCTGTTTCTGTCTGTTCGCATCTCGTCACTTTGTGCCACCTGGCGGCATAGTTGCAAACTGCTATCATACCTATAAAACACGTTCTTTCTTTTTTAGAGCGGCGACAGTACATGGTCGGCGGTAATGGCCATATTAAAGTCTCACCTACTGTATTTACCTGCAATTTCGGATTTTTTCTTGCTTATTTATGTTTATATTTTTTCATTAAGTGTGCTAAAAGTCCCTGGTATGCGTGTATGTTTGATTTAATGATTTTGTTTTTGTTTGTTTTTTCTATGTATTATTATTATTATTATTATTATTATTATTATTATTATTATATTTATTATTATTATTATATTTATTATATTTATTATTATTATTATTATTATTATTATTATTATTATTATTATTATTATTATTATTATTATTTATTCATTCACATATTTTACTCAGTTTAGTTTAATTTCTTTATTGGCATGTTTTTTTCAGTGTTGCCAAAGCATTTTAACTATGTATAAACTATGGGATATAGTTACATCTTTAAAATATACAATAAATAAAAAAAACTAAAACAAAAACAGGACAATATCACTAATAGTAACTCTAATAATTACTATTATAAACCGTATATTATTAATATAATACTTATAATTACTTATTTCACACCAAAGTGTGCTAAAGGTTGCAGGGATGCTTTTTTTTGTAATTATTATTGGTATTATTAATATTGTTGTCTGTGTGTGTTTTATAGTTGCGGACTGATGCAGAAAAGCGTTCCTTGGTGGAAAGTGGTCTGGCGTGGTACAGTGAGGACAGTAAATGTTTACGGAAAACCGATGGAGTTTATGACACCGGCAGCCTTAAAAGTGAGCCGTCCTGCAAGTGGAGGAAAACTCGTCTGCCGGACGGTCCTGCGATGGACAAGATGAATAAAGGAGAGCTGAAGAAACCTCAGAGTCTCGGACAGACGAGCAGTTTCAGAAAGAGCCGCAATCCTCCTGTGGGAGTCACTTCACCCATCACACACACCTCACAGAGTGTGCTCAAAGTCGCAGGTATGCTTATTTAGCAGATGCATTCAATTTGTTTGTGTGTTACTTTTTTTGTTATTTTAAGCCGTGTAAATTTGGGTTACCGAATATTGCAGTAATATTAAATTAAGTATTTATGTACTATACCTTCAAGGACAACACATTCACTTAATATGCAACTACCCCTCATTGAACCTACACATAGACATCACTTATATACTGTATAACTGCAGGTTTTTTGCTTGTATATAATAACTTTTACTGTTAAAAGCTATTAGTTACTAGTTAAAGTTATTAGTAACTAATAAAGTTAATAAAGTAACTAATAACCCTAACTTTTCTGACTTTGATTTTAATGCAATAATGTGCACCTTTTGTAAAGCTGTTTTGAAGCAATAATTATTGTGAAGAGCGCTAGACAAATAAGCTTGAATTAAATTTAATACTTGTTTAGCATAATTTGAAGAGGCTTTATTAGTGATTCTCAAACAGAAAATCAGTAATAAAGTTTCTTCAAACGACACTAAGCAAGTATACTGCATTAAAACATATTAATTAAATTTTACTGCAATATACGGTAAACCAAATGTCTTTTTAATTTTATTTTAATTTTATTATTGTTCTTTATTTCAGTTCAGAAATTGTGCTAAATATCACAAAAATCTAAAAGTGCTAGAAAAAACGTTTTTTTTTTACTAATATTGTTTTTTTGTTTTTTTTTTGTAATTTTTTATTTTTATGTTTTTTTTTTTACAAAATGTGATAAATGTCACAGGAATATTTATTTACATGTTATTTAACTTTGTATTTTTTATTGATTACTTTTTTGTTTTATTTTTTATTTTTTCAGTTTTATTATTATTATTATTATTATTATTATTATCATTCATTTATTATATATATATATATATATATATATATATATATATATATATATATATATATATATATTATTTTTTTTTATTTTTTTTTATTTTTTTTTATTTTTTTTCATTTTTTCACAACCTAGAAAGTTTCCTAAACTGGCTGGTATTTTTGTTTAATTTTGCTGTCTCTCTGTTGTTATTATTACTTTAATACTTTTTTACTTTTTTTTTTTTTAATTATTATTACTTTTACAACTAATCACACCCACACACACTCATTCACACTCATATAGTACATTACAGCCAATTTAGCTTATTCAATTCACTTATAGCACATGTCTTTGGACAATGGGGGAAACCGGAGCATAAGGAGAAAACCCATGCCAGCACGGGGAGAACATGCAAACTCCACACAGAAATGCCAACTGGCCCAGCCAGGACTCAAATCTGTGACCTTCTCCGCCCTCTTTATTTTATTTTATTTTATTTTATTTTATTTTATTTTATTTTATTTTATTTTATTTTATTTTATTTTATTTTATTTTATTTTGAGTTATTTTCATTTTATTTTGTTTTATTTTATTTTATTTTTTTATTTTGTTTTGTTTTCATTTTATTTTATTTTTATTATTTTTTTTATTTTATTATTTATTTTTTTTTTTTTTTTTCATTTCATTTTATTTTATTTTATGCTTGCATTTAGGCTTTAGTTGAAATTCAAACCGACTGTGTATTCTTAGTTTGAAATGTTTCAGACCTAATACAGACATGCCATAAATTAATTCAAGTCTCATTCTGGGCAACAAAACAAAAAAGTTTTTGTTCTCCAAATATACAACTTGATTTTCTCCAGCCTGCAGCTCCAGAAGGATCATATATTAATGATTCTATATCATGATTTGGACACGAATCAGCTGGATAAGCATCTTACAGTAGATTGTTTGTTAGTACTGTCATCCATAACCTCTTGAAATGAAGCCCATGTGTGATTCAGTGTTTTCTGAAGCATCTTTTCAGCAGATTTTTACCCCATTACACATTTGTGTGGAAACTTAAAAAGAGCCACAGGAATTGTATCAAAACTGAGCAACATTTACTCACCAAAATATCAGCTCTCATTATAGCTTAATGTAATGAACGGACAATATAAAAGTCACATAAAAATAATACTAATGAAAATTTTTATTTCAGTGTAGTGCAGATAGTGTAAGATGATAAGTACTTGCAAAGCTTCATATAGTGTCAGCATATATTAAGCAGACAGTCTACTACTACTCAAATGGACCAACAAAATAAAGCGTTACCTCATATACATACTATACAGTATATCAGTGATGCCCAAACTTTTTCTTATGAAGGGCCAGAAACCAAACTTGATTGAGGGTGTGGGCCAAAGGTACATCTTAATATTAAAAATAAATTAAAAATATACTTCAATAATATTACTAATTTTGTTTTTTTTATATATTTTATAATAAACTTCTTACAATAAAAATATTAAAAAACACATTTATAACACAGTTATGTTCAATGCTAAATACACAAGTCAAGTTGAACCTTGATTTGCTCTTCGATGTCTCGTGTTAGAGATCTGCGCGGGACTAAATTTTGAATCCCGCACCCTCCAGGTTTTAGCCCGAACCCGACCGCTCCCGCTTATATTAAGAATTTGTTTTCCTGCTGCCTGACCCGCCCTGTTATCTGGCCGCCGCGCCCGATCCCGCTAAAGAGCGGGGGAGAACAAAACCAAAAATCTCCCAGCTATACAGTCCAGACAGCCAAGCTGTCTGTATAAACACACACAAACAGCACCAAGCACACACACACACACACAGACAAAGCTCTCTCTCTGTCATACACGCGCGCGCACTAACACACAAGCACCAAGCAGACACACAGGCGTTTGCTGTTATAAAAGCTCAAAGGGTTGTAATACCATGTATCAAGTACCAAACCTCTCTCTCTCTCTCTCTCTCTCTCTCTCTCTCTCTCTCTCTCTCTCTCTCTCTCTCTCTCTCTCTCTCTCTCTCTCTCTCTCTCTCTCTCATTCGCGCGCGCACTAACATACACAAGCACCAAGCACACACACAGGCAAAGCTCTTTCTCATTCGCATGGCAATATCCGCGATATTGCTAGACAGCCCGCTCCCGTCCCAAATTAAACCCGTTACCGACCGCTCCCGCGATTTATTCGGAAATTTATTCCCGCGCCGCAGAAATCTGGTCGGACCTCTATGCAGACCTCTATCTCGTGTTGTCCATCTTCGAGTGAAAGTATTTACATTTTACAAAAATCTACTTCATTCCCAACATTTAATTAAATCATTACATTTCAGGTTTACTTTTTAGTAGCTCAACAACTAAACAAAAGGTTACATTTAATTAGAAATGACAATCTCTGTTGAAGGCGTTCGCCGCAACCTTCATATCTAATTCTTCTCAGATGGGATGGCGGGCCAAATTAAAGGTTACCATGGCAAACTTTGCCCTGCGAGCCCTATTTTGGGTGTCTCAACTATATATAAATGCCTGCTTTTGCAATATTTTGATCTTTAATATTCCTTATATTTCTTTTATCTTTGCCATGATAACAATACATCATGTTTTACTAGTTATTTTGCAAAGTACTAGGATTCTGCTTAAAGGGGACCTATTTTACACCTTTTTCAAGATATAAAATAAGTCTATGATGTCCCTAGAGAGTGTGTGTGAAGTTTCAGCTCAAAGCACCACACAAATAACCTTTTATAACTCTAAAACTGACCCTTTCAGGCTTTGAGCCTAATTTGTGCCGTTTTGGCGACTGTTGCTTTAAATTCAAATGAGATTGCCCTCTTTTTAAAAGAGAGCGGATCTACAGATGCATATGTGTCAGCATAGTGGCAGATTCAAAAACAAGACTATCGTCTTATGCTAATGAGGGAAAGATGGTCCCTAGTAGGTGGGGCTTTTCCCCTCTGATGACACATACAAAGGGAGGATGTCGATTAAAGTGTTTCTGCAGGCTGTTTTTTATAAAGTATGATTTTAAAAAATAAAATTAATACATTTTCACCATTAGAAGATGGTTATATTTATGCACTGCTGCCCCACAACTGTCTTTAAACCTCGTATAAAAGTGATTTTTGCATAATAGGTCCCCTTTAAAGTGCAACTTAATTAGATTAACTAAGCAAGTCCTTGGATTAACAGTAGTCTGTTCTGTAGCCAATTGAAACATATCCATGCATAAAAGTCATGTTGGTTTAATGCGTAACTCTTTATTTTCAGAATTACTTTGCTATACTGTGTTTTTAACTTTCTTCGAGAGCCTGAGCAGATTTCTAAAGAGAGAAGCCTGTCAGGTTTATCATTTTAGCCTCTTCTCTTCATGTTGTTTACCTGTGGGCAGTGTAACCTTTCTGTGCACCCTCTATAGTTCAGAATGACATTTAAATGTCAGGAATTGAGTTCATTTATTAGAAGAAAACCAGCAGCCATGGTGCCGTGTGGAATAATTCTTTGTCATATTTAATTCCCTCATTAAAGTGGTTCTGTTATTCCATTTTAAGACATTATATAAGTGTACCCAGAATGTATCTGTGAAGTTTACACTCAAAATGTCACGAATCATTTATTAAAACGTACTGCAAATGCCTCTTTTTTTTTTTTTTCTTTGTTGAAGCAAAAACACACCATTTTGTGTGTCTCTTTAAATGCAAATTATCTGCTAGCTCTGCCCCCTTTCAGATAAGGGTGGAGCCTTTACAGCTTATGCTTTAGTTACTCACAATTCCACATTTTTAAAAATTTGCATATATTTTACTTTTTTGTTTATTTGTTTGTTTGTTTATTTGCCAAGGACAGTGTACATTAATTAGCATTTCTGCAAATCCACCAGAATTAGCCAGAAGGCTATTTTTCATCTGTTGTCCCCGAACAACCAAAAAAAAAAACAAAAAAAAAACAATACAACAATTATACAATCATTCAAACATAGTTAAAAATGACTGAAATATACATGGTTATGTAGATGTTAATAAAAAAAGAATATATACATTTTAAAGTAAACTCCATTTTGTAATAGAGATAAAACTAGTTGAAACACATTTAAACAACAGATCATTAAGATGGTAGGCACAAATGGAAACATGCTAGGTTCATTCTTATAGGAATGAT